ATCACCTCCATTGAACCCCAGGGGATGCCTGGTGGGAGCCCCATCCAGAACGGCGCTGGGTGACCCTTTCCCAAGATGCCCACACCCATGAGGTGCTCAGGAGCCTCAGTTTCCCCTTTTGTGGGGACCACACGAGGCTGGGAAAGGGGTCCCCGTCCTCCCAGCGTTTCTGCCCCAGGATGCCCGAGGTCTCCTCCCACCTGGGGATGATGAAGGCGTCTCAGCAAAGGGGCAGGGAGCCGGGCACCCCTGCCTGCCTCCCCTCCAACGCCTGCCCCATGCAACGCGTCCTCTCCTGCTCCAGCAGCTCCAGAAGCTGAAGCAACTTTTCCAGCGCAAACCCAAGGAGGAGCCAGCGCCGGAGCCGCAGCCCAACGGGGAACTGGTCAGCCCCTCGGGGGGACCCATCTACTACATCTACGAGGAGGAGGAAGAGGAGGAAGAGGAGGAGGAGCCTGAGCCCCCTCCGGAGCCGGAGAAACTCGTCAATGACAAACCCCACAAGTTCAAAGACCATTACTTCAAAAAGCCCAAGTTCTGCGACGTCTGCGCCCGCATGATCGTCCGTGAGTGCCGAGGGGGCTGAGGGCCAAGGTTGGCCATGGCCACGGCCCAGCCATCCCCGCAGCTGCAGTGTCACATTGCCTCTCCTTTCCACCCACGCCCCCCTCCGCAGTCAACAACAAATTTGGCCTGAGGTGCAAGAACTGCAAAACCAACATCCACCACCACTGCCAGTCCTACGTGGAGATGCAGCGCTGCTTCGGCAAAATCGTGAGTGCTGCCATCGGGGCTGCTCCTCGCGGCGAAAACCAAAGCAGTGCTGCGGGGGGGACCCAGGCATCAACCCCTGCTGGGTGCTCACCCCCAGGCTCCCCAGTGTCCACCCCCTGGGTCCTCAATGTCCACCCTCAGGGTCCCCAGTGTCCATTCCCTGAATCCTCAGTGTCCATCCTCAGGGTTCCCAGTATCCCCTCTTGAGATCCCCACTGTCCATCCTCGGGGTTTCCAGTGTCCACTCTGAGAATCCAGTGTCCATCCGCTTCCCCCTCAGCTCTGGGTTCCCAGTGTCCACTCTTGGGGTCCCCAAATGTCCACTCCCTGGGTCTCCAGTGTCCACTCTCTGGGTTCCCAGTGTCCGTCCCCTCAGTCCCCACTGTCCACCCTCGAGGTCCCCAGTGTTCACCTCCTCCCCCTTCAGCTCTGGGTCCCCAGTGTCCACTCTCAGGGTCCTCGGTGTCCACCCCCTGGGTCCACAGTGTCCAATCTCAGGGTCACCAGTGTCCACTCTGTCCATCCTCAGGGTCCTCAGTGTCCACTCTCTGGGTCCCCAGTATCCACCCTCAGGGTTCCCAATGTCCACCCTCTGGGTCCCCAGTGTCCATCCTCAGAGTCCTCAGTGTCCACCTCCTGGGTCCCCAGTGTCCACCTGCTCCCCCTTCAGCTCTGGATCCCCAGTGTCCAACCTTGGGGTACCCAGTGTCCACGCTGAGAACCCAGTGGCCACTCTCAGGATCCCCAGTGTCCACCCTCTAGGTCCCCAGTGTCCACCCGCTCCCCCATCAGCTCTGGGTCCCCATTGTCCAGCCTCAGGGGTCCCAGTGCCCACCCTTGGTGTCCCCAGCGTCCACTCCTGGGGTCCCCAGTGCCTGCCCACTCCCCCTCAGCCCCCGCAGGAGCCCGCACGGGTGCTGGCCGATGCTCTGACCCCCTCTCTCGTGCCAGCCCCCCGGCTTTCGGCGGGCGTACAGCTCGCCCCTCTACAGCGACCAGCAATACGCCTGCGTCAAGGACCTGCTCTGTAAGTGCCGTCCCCGCGCCCTCCGCTCGCGCCCCGCAGCCAAACCCCTCTCACCGCCCCTGTGCCCCAGCAGCCGCCAACAGGAGCGACCCCGTGTTCGAGACCCTGCGGACGGGCGTCATCATGGCCAACAAGGAGCGCAAGAAGGGGCAGGACGAAAAGAAAAACGTGAGTGCGGGGCTGGTTTCCTGCTCCGAATGCCCCAAAGCAACCCAACCTGCGCCCCGTTGCCACCCCCAGACACCACCCCTCTGCTTTGCAGCCCTTGGCCGCTGTGATGGATGAGGAACCAGAGGCCGCCAAGCCCGGAGAGGGCAAAGCCGAAGGGGGTGAGTGCTGAGACCGCAGCGGGGCCCGGCTGATGGGGAGACCACATTTGGGGGGTCATTGGGTGGGTTTTACCCTGCAGAAAGGGGGAGTCCTCAGTTCTCCACCCTGGGGTGCTGTTGACCTGGGCACAGGAGGAGGCTGGGCCCAGGACAGGGGGACAGCACCAGACGTGAGCCCCCTCCTCCCATTTCCAGGCGGCGCTGAAGGGGACAAGAAGACTGAGAAGAGCCCAGCAGATGACAAGGTACCCATGGTGCTCACCCTGCGCCCCAAAAGGCCCCCGATGGGCAGAGGCTGTGAGCATCCCCCTGCTGGGCACCCCAAAAGGGGGCCCTGAACCCCTCTTTCCTCCTCCCCCAGAGCAAGAAGCTGCAGCCGGGGATTCGCGGTGGCTTTCTGCAGTCCCATTACTTCGTGGCACTTTACCGCTTCAAAGCCCTGGAGAAGGACGACCTGGACTTCCCGTGAGTGCCAAACCACGAGGGGAAGGACTTGGGGTGTCTGGAGGGGGTCTGTGAATGAACCAGAGCAGAAAGCGGAGTCGCGCTGGCTGTGGTTTGGGTTTTGTGGCTTTGCTGCCTGCGTGCACCCATGGGGTGCCCTGGTTGTCGCTCTCCCAGCACTCAGATTTTGGCCACAAGCTTCACTTCTGAGGTTGCTGGGGTTTGTCTCCATGGGGCTCTGCTCATTTCTTGCACCCCAGACCTAGGGCTGAGCCGCTTCCCCCCAGGACGTGTCCATCCCCGAGGCCATCCCTTGATGTCCCCTGATGTGGGGCTGTGGAAAGAGCAGCTTTCCTTGGGGTATCCCATTGCGGGGTCCCCGTCACCCCCTCACACCGAGCCCTTCCTTCCCTTCACAGCCCTGGGGAGAAGATCACGGTGGTGGATGACTCCAACGAGGAGTGGTGGCGGGTAAGGCCAGGGTCCTACAATGACACAGAGCTTAAAGCAAAGGGGTGCAGGTTGCGCTCCGAAAGGGGGACGCAGCCCCCTCAGTCTGCTGTGTCCCCAACCTGCAGCCTTGGGGGAAACTGGGGGTTCTGCTCTGTACCCATGGGGGATGCTGGGGTGGTCACAAAGGTTGACTCCAAGCCCTACCCCCGCACCCATCTGCTGGCTTCTTTTAGGGGAAAATCGGTGAGAAAATCGGGTACTTCCCACCGAATTTCATCATCCGGGTGCGGGCGGGCGAGCGGGTGCACAAGGTGACGCGCTCCTTCGTGGGCAACCGGGAGATCGGGCAGATCACGCTCAAAAAGGATCAGGTGAGACCCCCCCCATGACCCCACTGCACCCCACAGCCACTTCCTCACCGTTCCCACGCTCTGCCTGGGGGTCACCACCTCTCTCCTACACCGTGGGGCCCCCCGGGGGTCTCAGCTGCGCCCCTCTCCCCCCAGATCGTGGTGCAGAAGGGCGA